GTTATATTATCTGAGATTTTCTTTTTAGGATAGCAGAGTGGACCCTGGTTCTGATAAGGCTAAGATCCACTGGGCTATGCTGAGGTTTAAGATGAGGGGGAAATAGTCACTTTCTACCTAGTTCTGAAAACTCGTGCTCAGAATGTTACTCCTTTTTAACTGTCCGTTTGGTTCCCCACTGATGACAGACATAAGGGGAGGCCTATCAGATGACATGTGAGTCTGGTCCTTCTGCCCCTGCCCCCGATCTCCGGCCCTGCAGCCTGCACACCCTGCTGTCTGGCTGTTCCACTGCACACAGTTCTCAGGTCAGGTGGAGAGTGCGTGCCTGGAAGCCATTGCTCATGGGCTTTTTCTGCCTCTAATGCTCTTTATCTCCACCCCTTCCAACCTTCTCCCCACACACTGAGGACACTCTCTTTCAAGACCTAGATGAAGCTCAGTCTTCTCCGTGTGAATGGGATTGACTCCCACAGTTGCCACTGACTGTTCTCTCCATTGCATATCCCTCCAAATAGACATGATTTAAAATTTTTAATTTTTCCAACTCATGCCATTATTTTGTATATACTAGTTAGTCTACTTTATTGTATTTTTATGGAGGAGACCCTTTAGAGTCTTCTCCGTTTTATTTCAATTTTGAAAAAATAACAAAACTTCCTGAAAAGGTGCAAGTGTAACATAAATACCCCATTTGGGAGGTGTTGCCAAAATAATACCCAGTAACCCCCAAATTTCAGTTTTATAAAAGAACATTGTTCCACACAACTACATTACAATAATCAATATCAGAAAATCCATATGCATTTTGATCCCATACTTCCATGTGATACCTGGACCTTCTCTGATTCACATGTGTATGTGTGCTGTTGCCTCCTCCTGCCACAGACATCCTTTTCCACTGCTTGGACCCTGCCTGGCCACCTTCCTGGAAGCCTTCCTACCTGCTGGGGCTCTGGCACCCCACACCAGACTGCCTTCCAGGTGCTCTTTTTACTTCTGTTGAGTTATAACACCAATCTAGTGTCTTTCTCCCTACATAGATTCTTTCTTTAACTCGAGACAGACCTTGCCCCCAGGGAACACACATCCTCTTGTGTTCTGACACTCCAAGCTAAGCCACCTGCTGGGTGGACACCCTCCTCACCCTGCTTAAGTTCTGACTTCCTCTTGCCCGGGAACCCTCATCACCCCTCTTGGGCTCCAACACCCTGGCCTCTCCAAGAGGACACCCTTCTCTCTGTGCCTGAGCTGTAACGTCCTGCTCCCAGCTACTGTTCTCCCAGGTGGCGACCCTCCTCAGCTCCTCGGTCAGCCTCTGCCGCCACCTCTGCCACCACTGCCCCCAGCACACACTCCTACTTTGCTTTGAACTGAAATATTAGCAAGAGAGGTGGGAGAGCTTTTTACTATTTGTAGTGGTTTTCTGTTTTAATGCTCATGACACTAAAGTAGAATCCGGCCGTAGAAGGTCGGACATATATGTACACACAGCAGCGGGAATGATTATCTTGACAATGCACTGAGTGCCACGAGATTGGGAAAGTGACTTGTCCTCAGTTGGACTCAGTGCCTGAGTCAGCAGCTCACCAAACTGACAGCTTTCAACTTAGATGGTTTTCACTCAGCAGTCCCTCAAACTCAGGCCAGCTACTTTGTGTTTACACAAACCATGCTGCTGTGCATTGGAGACAATTCAAGGGCTTTTTACAGGTGATTTGGACCATGAGCCATTTGATTGCATGCACTGTCTCCAGAACCTGGACCTGCGCTGCTTACCAGGGCCTGTGGGGCTATTTCAGCGAGGCTGTGTGTAGGAATACTGCTGGTGCTGCCCAAGCCTTCTTGGGTGTAAGACTTTATATGGCCTCACACAGACAAAAGTCTCTCCGTTTGACTGTCAGGCCTGGGGGTGAGGCCAGAGCCTGGGACCAGGTTACCTGGGACATAGTTTGATGAGAGAAGCTTGGATCCAGGCCAGTGCCTGGGAAGCAGGCCTTTCCCCATCAAGGCTCTGCTGATTGGGTCATGATAATGCTCCATTATGATTTTATAATCTACCAAAAGCCCAAGCTAAATAAAATAGTTGGGAAAGAGTCCCAGCTCCTCCTCCAGACCCAAGCTGTTATGCTTTGTTGTATATGTGCCTCTTTTTCCCTCAAGGACCATGGCCTGCTTGAGTACAGGGACCCTTTGTACTTGTCTTCTGGGCCCTAGCCTCGGTCTGAGCCCACCGCACTGTGATGCTCTTGTGGTGAGGACTCGAGCGGTTGCATAAAGGTAGCAAGTGGTGGAGGCCCAGGGATGGTTGGCGCTCCTTTCGATGTCCAGGGAGGAGCAGCATAATGGAGTGTTTGTTTCCTGTGTCTGGATTGGGAAGTCGTGTTTACCCCACGATGACAGACAAGCACAGAATGGAGCGGAGGGTCTCCATAGCCTCACCTGCAAGCTCGCAGGCAGCGCGAGGCTGTTGTGCCAGCACTAATGAAGCGGCACAGGAAACAGCACGGGATAAAGTTCAGCTGTGACCCTGGCCTCCCAACAGGGGAAAGAGGGATCCTTTGAAGAAGAAGACAGCTGGGTTTTGGTTTCAAGACCTTAACACTGCCATCACTAGATATTCATCTGTCAGTGCACAGGGGACAACATGTGGAGAACAGTTGTGTCCGGTCAGGCCAAAGGGAGAAGGAGATGGCTGATTTCCAGGGTAACTGTGAAACCTCCCATGGCTGAGGGTTCTGCGTAGCGTAGCCAAAAAGAATCAATTTGGTGAGGCTGTGGCTGAGTGTGAGAACCTGGGCACTGTCTGCTGTGGGCCAGGCGGTCCTACCACGTCACCTTCCTTCATCCTCATACCAGGGACAGGGAGCCTTGAGGTTCTGGCCCAAGTTATGCTGGTCAGTTGAACATAGTAGCCCAAACTGCTTCCATATATACTGAGTCCTAAATTATCAGAGAATCCAGTCTGCCCTGAGTCATTTCATCAAGTACTCCTAGAGAATTCAACTTTTCTCGTGTTTACATAGGGCCACAGTTGTTCCTTGAAAGGGAATAGTTACTCTTCTTGCCTTTTATAATCCCCTGTCCTGACTTTCAGTTCCTAGATTTAATTAGTTGTATTTTTTCTTTCAGAAAAACAATATTTGTAATCCTTGGTTGAATTTGTTTACTAAGAGTCCTCTAATCTGGGCAAGAGTTTTCTTCTGAGGGGATTTATTGTTTCTATTAGAATAGCTTTAACTCAGCCGAGGTTTACTTAACAGAATAGGAAGGGAGAAACTTATCTCCTCCCTAACCCCTCTTGAATGTTTCCATCACTCTGCCAAAGCAGAGTCGTGCAAAGAGGCAGTAGTCATTTGCTCTGTAAGTCAATGTGCAGCTAGCTGCCAGAGCGGATTAAACATGTTAACATAGGTGATAATACTGTCGCAGAAGTGAAAAGTTAAGTTGCTTATCAGTATATTCTGATAAACTACTTAAATTTTACAGTAGCATGTACTGACTTCAGACAGACGTTAGTAATAGGGAACTGTGCACTTTTATCTGTCCTCTCTATTGCCTCTCACTTCATATATTACCCCTGGCGGTACAGCTAGTAATCTGTGCAGGGCGCTGACTTCCCTCGCCTGGCAGGATGGGGTTGGGCAGCATCGGCGCTCCCTCCGTGTCCAGCTCCATCAGCAGCTGATACTGTCAGCTCAGCGGGCGCTTGGTACAACATTCTCACGTGACTATTTGATGTCGCTTCGGAAATTTCTTATGGAGAATAAAGCCATTTAAATTGAGTGACAAAACTTCGTGGGAGTGGGGATGTATTTCAGCAACAATTCTGTAGCACTAATGCGCCTTTGCTGTTAGTGTTTGTTTAGTTTTGTTTGTTGAGTCAACACTAAGCATTGATGGTATGCGGGCTGTGTGCTTAGCCCTGGGAAGACAAGGTGAAGAGAGATGTGATCCTTCCTCTCTGTTTGCACAGCCTCTTGGGAAGACAGCCACACCATTGAGTGCCACGTGGTGTGTGGAATGTTATAACAGGAGTAGGCACAGGCACAGGGCAACATGGAAAAGGGGGAATCAGGGCATGAGAGGCAAGGAGGGGCTGGGGTACTGTTAGTAGGATGCATAGAAAGCAGCTAGACTAGACCGTGAAGGTCAGAGGGAGAAAAGCGCCAAGTGTAGACAAGCTCAGACAGGCTGAGGCTGCCTGCACAAGCTTGGAGTAGGCTGCCATGAGAGGAGTCCGTATGTGGGGAAGTCTAGAGAAGACCGCCAGAGAGGCAGCCAAGGGCCTAACCGTGGAGAGCCTGGAACGCCCTAAGAAGTACTGCAGCAAAGGGATGATTGTAGGAATTTAATCCGATGTGCCAGTTAGATTTGTATTTTAGAAAGAACATTCTATGAGGAACACAGAGGGTAGACTATGGTCAGGTCCACCCTGTTGTCAGAGTTAAGGGGCACGATAGTCAGGACCCGGTGGAGGGCAGTGAGACGGAGAGTTAGTACTCATCCCACAACCAGTGCGGAGAGGGTGTGTTACAGAATGTTTGGCGAATGGTTTCGGGCTCCAGGGGCCTTTGGGACCCCTAGCAGCTGCAGGCAGTGGAAGTGCTGTGTGTGTGTGTGTGGCTGTGTGTGTCTAATCATGAGAACTTGAATAGAAGCTTTCCTGGAAAGGGTGGGTGTGGTGGGAGAGGCCTGGGGCTACTCACAGATAGTTCCTGATTGCAGAGTCTGCTTTGAATGTCTTCTCTATGAACCTGTTCTAGCTCTGAGGCATGGGAATAATTTATAATGAACATTCAATCCTCCGTCTTATCCAGGCAATTTTTTGAAATCCCAGAAATAATTAGCATTTCCCCAGTCTGTGTTTCTAGCACATACTATGACAGGAAGACTCTTTAGGATATAGAGAAAAACTGAAATTTACCAGTCTTAAATTTGTTCCTGGTTAAAGTTTTTGACCTGCATACTAATATTTCATGTTTTCTCTTCTTCCCCAGCTATCTCCCATGGTTTGAAGTATTTTATAAGCTACTTAACATCTTGGCAGATTACACGACAAAAGGACAGGTATTTTTTTTCTTTTTAATGAGTTAACTTTAATTTACCTTTTATGATTATAAAAGTAATAGATGCTCTATATTTCACCAAAATGTTTACCAAAAATGTACTGCATGCTTGTTATAGAAAGTTTGGGAAATTCAGAAAGTAGTAGGAAGGAAGAGAAAAATCACTCCTATGCTCTATGCTCTGCCCCCAACCCCCATAAGTGTTACTAGCATCTTGGGATGTTTTCTTCCTTTACTCTTTGAATTAAATATATAATAATAGATCCTTAGCATTCACAGAGTTAATATTCACAATATCTAATGGTCCCAAGCAACCCTAGAAGCTCATGATTTGTATTGAGTTATCATTTTGCTGAGGCACAAATCTGGATTGTTCATGTCATGCTGCAGAGTTGGCATTTGTGAGAATATCACTTAACTGGCGAGTGACCTAGCCAGCTGTCCTGAGTTCCTGTTTCAATAAGGCTTTGTTGTACTTTTACAGTATTTTTTATAAGGGTCTGAAAATTAGTTTAAAAGCTCAGCTACACCTACCGTGCTTTTGGGAGAAACGGTATGCTAAAGTATCTTCCATAGGTGTCATGGGTCAGCTGGAGTTGTATTTAGACTTTTGTGGCCCATATTTTTTAACCATATTTTTACCAGGTAACATAATCAGCAAAGCATTTTTCATGGTTGCATAGCATTATATGTGAACCCTGATTTACTGAAACATTTCCCTATTGTTGGAAGTTCTTATAATTTGGGACTTTTTTTTTTCATTATTACAGCCATTGGTATCTTTGAGCAAAAAGCATTTTATTTTCTTCATTTTGGATTGTTTCCTTAAGAGTAGAATATCAAATGGGCCTTTGTAAGGTCAGTGGATATAAACATTTTTAGAACATTTACCAACTGCTTTCCAAAAGAATTGTGCTGTTTTCTTAAAAAATACCTTTTCCTAGCAATGTATAGAGTGCCTGAGTAACTGTGTTCTCACCAGTGTTATTTGTTGAATTCATTGCTTATTTGACAAATGAACAAGTCTCATTGTTTTATTTATTTATTTATTTAATTTTATTTTTTTTATCCTCACCCGAGGACAGTTTTCCATTTTTTGTTCAGATAGAGTGGGAGGGAGAGAGAGGAAGAGAGAGAGAGAGAAACATCGACGTTAAAGGGACACATCGAGTGGCTGCCACCCGCACGACCAACCAGAGCCAGGGACAAACTGTAACCGAGGTACGTGCCCTTAGTGGGAACTGAACCCGGGTCTCTCCGGACTGCAGGCCAACGCTCTAACTGCTGAGCCAAACCGGCCAGGGCCAAGTCTCATTGTTTTAATTGTATTTCTTTGATTTTTAGTGAGTTGAATATTTGTCCATATGTCTAACTTCCTATATTTTCTTTTTCATAAATGGTCTAAGGTTTTAAATTAAAGTGATATATTATTAGTAAATGTTAGAGATATTTCCCCTCACATCTTCTATGGAACGTTAGTTCTGAGAAATGTCCCATAAGAAGAGTACCGTATTCAATAATGCTGGGGTCAGAGAGGGAGAGCGGTGCCTCTTTTGTGTCTCCTTACGATTTATACGACACAGGCTCTGAGGAGCCCTGCAGTGGAGGAAGCTGTGCTACTCAGCGCTTCCCATCTCGTTTGGCTCCACACCCCTATTTCGTGACAGATACTAACATTTTGGGATATCAGTGTTTTCCTGGAACACACTTTGGGAAATGCTGTTTGGGAGAAAAAGTGAAAATTATGTGTATTGTGGATAAATCTTTCCCTCAAGGTAGATTTACTCACTGGCAAATGTATTCCAGAGGCCACAGTAAAGGGAAGGAACAGGAATAGAAATGGCACCCTGGATCACTACGCTCACTCTGAAAGGATGCTTAGGTATCAGGGAATTCTGTCATAAACGAAGTGATGTACTCTTTGATAAATGAGCCAGGAGACCATCTTGGGTCTGTTCATCGATTTCTGATTCACAGTTCACTTTAATCAAACATTCAGGTTTTCACTCAAATTTGAAAGATGTCTTCAGTAAATAGAATTGTATAACATGTAGGCTCTTAACAATCTTCGATTTGAAGAATGACTCACATTTTTTAATTCATATTTATGCTCCAGTGAATAAAAAACTTAGTAGACTTTTATTTTATTTATTTATTTTTATCTTTATTGTTTAATGTACTACAGATGTTCCTCATTTTTCCCCCATTGAGCCCCTCCTTCCCACTCCTGCCCCCCTCCCGCCTTTTCCCACACTGTTGTCTGTGTCCGGTGGTTATGCATATAAGTTCTTTGGTTTATTTCTTCCCAACCCCCCACCCCGTTCCCTTTGAGGTTTGTCAGTCTAGCAACCAATTTGTTCTTCTTAATGCGTTCACCTTTTTCACCCATTTCCCCAATCCCCCTCAGTATCTATGAGAATGTTTCTGTTCTGCCTGTTCATTTTGTTTGTAGATTCAATTGTCGACAGATATGTATTCATTGCCATTTTATTTGTTCATATTTTTTATCTTTTTCTTCAAAAAGACCCTTCATCATTTCATATAACGGTTTGGTGGTGATGAACTCCTTTTTCTTGTCTGGGAAACTCTTTATATGGCCATCGATTCTAAACGCCAGCTTTGCAGGATAGAGTAATTTTGGTTGTAGGTTCTTCTTTTCATCACTCTGAATATTTCTTGCCACTCCCTTCTGCCCTGCAAAGTTTCTTTTGAGACATCAGCTGACAGTCTTATGGGAACTCCCTTGTAGGTAACTAACTGCTTTTCTCTTGCTGCTTTTAAGATTCTCTCTTTATCTTGAACCTTTTACATTTTGATGATGATGTGTCTTGGTGTGGACCTCTTGGGAGTTTATCTTGTTTGGGACTCTCTGTGCTTCCTGGACTTGTATGTCTGTTTCCTTCACCAAGTTAGGGAGGTTTTCTGCCATTATTGTTTCAAATAGGTTTTCGATTTCTTGTTCTCTCTCTTCTCCTTCTGGCACTGCTAAGATGCGAATGTTGGCACGCTTGAAGTTGTCCCAGAGGCTTCTTACACCATCCTTATTTTTTTGGATTCTTTTTTCTTTTTGCTGTTCTGATTGGGTGTTTTTTGCTTCCTTATATTCCAAATTGATGGTTTGCTTCTTGGCTTTACCTACTCTACTATTGAATCTGCGTAAATTATTCTTTATTTCAGTTAGTGCCTACTTCATTTCTGACTGTGCATCCTTCATTTTTGACTGGTCCTTTTTTATGCTCTTGAGGCCCTCACTAAGTTCACTGAGCATCCTTATAAGCAGTATTTTGAACTCAGCATCTGTTAGGTTGCTTATCTCCATATCACTTAGTTCTTTTCCTGGGGTTTTGTTCTTTTCTTTTATTTGAGACCTGTTTCTTTGTCTCCTCATTTTGACTGCCTCTGTGTATTACTGAACAAGAGGTATGGGGCTATCTGAGACCAGATGCTGCTTGTTTGAAAGAATTTAGGAAAACCTGAAGCAGGAACCAAGACAGGCCAATCTTATGGTTAAGCAAGTGGCAACAGCTTGGGTGGGCCTGAAAGTGGGGTGGGGCGGGGCCTCAGGGAATCACCAGGGCGGGGCAACCAGTGTGAGCCAGGTTGCTGGGGTCCCAGATATGGCAGCTGTCTGCCGCCCCAGGGAAGGGCTCACCAAAGGAACAAAGGCCTCTGACAGCATGTCTGTCCCAGAGAAAGCCCCCTCTCCAGCCCTCGCTCCAGTGCCAAACAGCTCATTTCTTCCCTGTATGTCTCTGGTGCCCCTCGAGCTGCCTCCCCTCCAAGCTTAGAGGGAGAGAGTCTGATAAGTCTGTGCACAGGCTCTTTAAGAGGAGCTGCCTGGGGCTCCAGCCTCCTCAGCCTCCCTGAGCCTCAGTTCCCGCTGGTTTTCCAGCCAGAAGTGATGGGGATTCTCTTCCTGGCACTGGAACCCTGAGTGGGGCACCTGGTGTGGGACTAGGACCCCCTCACTCCTCAGGGAGGACCTTCCCAGCCGAAGTGTCCTCCTGATTTTTATCCGCCACACGTGGGTGTGGGACTAGCCCGTCCGCCTCCGCCCCTTCTACCAGTCTTGATGTGGTTGCTGCTTTAATTCCGTAGTTGTAGGACTTTATTCAGCTTGATTTCAGGTGGTTTTGAATGCTGTTTGTTCTGTAGTTTAGTTGTAACTCTGATGTGGTTGTGGGAGGACGTGATACCGCGGTTACCTACCCGCTATCCTGACCAGAAATCAACTTAGTAGACTTTTAAAAACATGTCTTGTGATACTGGAAAGGTTGGATAGGTACAATCTATGCATAGGGGATACAGGATTATTACCCTGAAAATTGGTGTACCCATCTTCTGGGCCATAGCCACAGTAAAGGACCCTGACTCTTGGAGGGTTGGAGACTGAGGTCAGTGACCTATTTTAGTGGAGTCTATTTCCCCTGTATCCAGGACTCTTTTTAGTGTATTTTGGTTAAAAAAATTATGACATAGATCATAGGGAGTCTACCTACAACTGGCTAAATTGCTTGCAAGGTGTAGGCCATCAGATTAGAATAGGAGGAAAGAGCTTTTATTAAAAACACAGAATCTTTTCCCCACGTCCAAAAATCTTTGAAAGGTCGGGCATTGTAGACTTAAATGTGTGTGTGTGTGTGTGTGTGTGTGTTCATGACAGCTCAGCATGGAGTGTCAGAGACTAAGCTACATGATGAGGGTGTCTGTCTGGGTCTTGACTCAGTGTGGTTATCAGACTCTGAATAGGGCAATGAGAGCATCCTTGTTGAAGGGATGGCAGGGGTGAGGAGGGCATCTGAGTGAGAGAGCAGCCTGGCTGAGTGTGTCGGAGCCTGAGAGATGAGGTGGTGTTTATGTGGGGCAGTGGTGGCACTGGCCAGGCACTGGATGCTGGAACTCCAGTGAGTTTTAGAGGGTTCCACATGGGAAAAGGGGCAGCAGCAGTGACCCAGCACTGGGGTGTTGGAGCGTGGGGTGGGCATGGCATGTTTGTTGGAGGTGGGTGGACAGTGGTGGCCTAACACTGGATGTCAGTATTTGAGCAGGGCAGGGAGAGCTTCTAGGTGGGTAGGGAACTAGGGGCATTGATAAAAGATTGGTTACATACAAAAAAGGGAATATGTTAAGAAAATAGATGGATGGTTTTTCACTTTTGTAGAATATAGTTACAAATATGTAAGGGGAGAAAACTAGAATGATTCCTGTGATGAATTAGAATTAAAGGCTCTCAATATATGTGACAGATATGGAGATAGAGATATAAATGTATATTATAGGTCTCTCTGTGTGTAATGTATTCCCTGGCTCTATCAACTGAGAGGATCTGGGGTCAGCAATACCCATGTAGCATGGAGTACGCCTAGGTTTCTTAGTTTCTACCAAGCTTTCTCCACTAAAAAGAGCCAGGACTCCCTGGAAAAATGTCTAATTCCAGGGCTGGGGAAGGGAAAGGATAAGATGAACCGGGAATATCTTTTAGTGCTGAAATTAAGGAATTGCTCAAAACATGATGGGGACATGTCAGAAGGACACACATGTGAGCTCAAGGAGGCAAGGGGTCCTACTGGTCACATCTGGGACAATTCAAGCCTCTAAACAGATAATTATAGTAAAGGATTATAACACAATTAAATAAAGCAAGAAACCATGTGTCTATACTAATATAAATAAGTAAATAGATAAAATAAAAGCTGGATGAAGAATGGGATATTTATATGAAGTATTGCTCCATGAAATGCAAAGGGAAAATGAATAATCTTGCAGTAGAGACATCAGATAAATTAACCAAATGATCAAAATGAACATCATCAATAATGGGATGAATTGAAATTGGAATCAGTAGAAAACAGACAGTTGAGGATTATGCTATAAAATGACTGGCCTCACTGTCACGTTCATACAAATCTAGGAATGATCGGAACTCTTCCAAACTGATAAAGACTGGAGAGTCATAACTAAAGGCAATTTGTGATTATTAACTGGATTATTTTGCAATGATTGGCACAGTTAACAAAACTTGATGGGCTCTGAGGATTAGATGGTAATGTCGTATCAGTGTTAATTTCCTGATTTTAATGATTAATTGTGATAATGTAGGAGAATGTTCTTTGTATTTCTCAATGATGGGGCAGAATGTTAACAACTCACTTTCAAATAGTTTAGAAAACTAAAAAAAAAAAATTGTACTGTCCTGCAATTATTTTTTAAATTTGAAATTGTTTCAGAGTAAAATTAAACATGTTGGCGCATGCACATAGACATTTATCTCCTTTGTGAGAAACTTGAGTGTTTTATCAGTTCAGATTGAAACAGGCATTTAATCTGAGCTCATCCTTTCTTTTCCTTTCCTTTAAATTCACTACCAGAAACAGCTGCCAAGTAGCGGAGAGGGCTCTGCTCCTGGCTGAGCAATTTACTAACTGGCTGATTTGAGCCAAGTCGCTTCACCTCCCAGAGCCTCAGTTTTCAGTCTGTGAAGTGGAGTAGTTGTGAGGGTCATAAAGATTTTTAAGAAGGATACAGATGTGAGCTTATTACTATTATATTAACGTAGAGAAGGCCACAGGATAGGAGAAGTGGCTTTTGGATAATTCTGTAAGCAGTGTTCTCTTGAGCCTTTTAAAGGTGAATCTGTTTTCAGTCGAATAATTTGTACTGCTTTGTACTTCATTTCACTAATTAAAATGCACAGCCACCATCCTATATTACGTGCTGTTGTACGTAGTTCATTTTTAACTTTCCATAATTGGAGGCTGCCATGTGTATCCAGTGAACGCTCAATACAATTAATTGAGGGTAATGATGATGAAGAAGACAAGATCTATAGTGTCATCGTTATTTCTCCCCACCACCCCCGCCCTGTAAGCTAGGATTGTTTGCATTTAAAAGTTGTTGCTATGGAGTTGAGAAGATAGATTTACTGAGAGCTTATGGTACATAATCCATAAAAGGTGGTCATGGTAGGTGTCTCACTGAGCAGAAAATGTCAAATTTGCTGTGGGAGGATCTACTTGGCTCTTATATTGAGCCATAAGTAGTGTCTTTTGTCCAACCCTACTTAAATAGCAAACCTGTTTCTGGACTGGGGCCAGCACCTCCCCAGCCCCTCAGTCATGAGGGCCCCCAGCTTACTGTGTGCCCAAACCTCCCTGCATATCTCTGACTAAGGGTTCAGCCTCGATTTGGTTACTGAGACCTTTTATTTCTTTCAGGAGAGTCAGTGGAATGAGCTTCTCGAAACTCTGCACAAACTTCCCATCCCTGACCCAGGAGTGTCTGTTCATCTCAGCGTGGTAAGTGGGGCAGAAGATCAGCAGTCACTGGAAAACCATTTCACTATTAACAGGAAGGAGTTAGCCAAGCAGGGTCATCTTTTGTTGTTTGCACTTTCCCCACCCCTACCCGCGAGTACTCTAAGACCCCTAGGCTCAAGGCAGGCCCAGAAGTTGTATTTCTTCCTTTCTTTGGGATTCCATGAGCAATGGGTCCCAAATGTCCCCAGGCTCCTCTCTTCCTGGCTGTCATTCCATCACTAGCATCTCCTGTCCTGCCTCACACTTTGTCCCCCAGCATTGCTGTGCATGCCCATTTGCTAAACCCCATCTTGCTGCCCCCTGAGCCTTCAATACCACCTCTCCCCTGTTTACCAGGGTACCCCGTGTTCATCCTTCAGAACTCAAATTGGATTTTAATTCTGAGAAATCCCGACACTCCACAAGACTTAGCTAAGTCCCAGGCATTTTGTACATTTAGCAGTACTGAGTCACACCACATTGGAACGATCTGTTTTCCTCTTGCCCCCACTGGATTGTAGGCCCCCGAGGACAGGGACGGAGAGAGCCTAGCGGAGTTCTTGGCCTGCAGCAATATCGTCCTTTGAACTCTTCCATATACATGCTGCACAATCTGTAGTGTAGTAGAGTGGAAAGTCCTCTGAACTACAAGTTGGGAGATTTCAGTCCTAGTTGTAGTTTTTTGCCCATGATCTGAGTGATACATGTGCTTTTATGTTTTAGTTACTAGGACCCTCTGATTCCCTGAGTCAGACCCTGTCACCACCTTCATCAGTATTCTCAGGTGGAGATCCTTTGGTCAGTTGTTGATTATACAGGGCCCATTTCCCCTGTGTTGTGGGGTCTGAATGTTTAAAAAGTTTTTTCAGCTTCACTAGAACCAGGTACGGCATTGGTGTTCAGTGGTTATTATCTTGGTATTTGCCCTCTTAAAGAAAATGGACATATGTTATAGGGCTTTTTTTCGTGATGATCAAATTGAAAGCAATATTTTTACCATTAGCTAATAATAGATCTATTTGCTAAGTTCCTGATTTATGCCAAGTATGCCTCTCTAATGTTCACAACAACTACAAATAGACATTAACATTCTCATTCCGTGGATGAGGCTTAGAGAGGAACAGGTACTTGCTTACCCAAGATTATGTGGTTAATTGTGAGAAGTTTGGGGTTTTCAAGACCAGGACAAACTTCCAAGCCTATGTTTTTTCCTCTAGTCCATGGGTGTTGAAAGAAGGAGGTGAAAGAAGGAAGGAAAAAAGGAATTTGTAGAGGTTTTTGCACATTTTAATAGAGCATAGGAAAGGAAAGAACCTTGTTACAGAAATTCATGTCAGGAAGACTGCTGCCTGGAAGATGAAGAAATGAGCTTTAAAAAACCTGCCTCAGCCCCGGCTGGTTTGGCTCAGCGGTTGGAACATCGGCCTGCGGTCCAGAGAGACCCGGGTTCAGTTCCCGCTGGGGGCATGTGCCTCGGTTGCAGTTTGTTCCCGGCCCTGGTTGGGTTGTGTGGGTGGCGGCCACTCGATGTGTCCCTTTCACGTTGATGTTTCTCTCTCTCTCTCCTTCCTATTCTGTCTGAACAAAAAATGGAAAAGTGTCCTTGGGTGAGGATAAAACAAAAAACCAAAAAAAACGCCCTAGTCATCTCCGTGCAGCTAAGCAACCTTGCCTTTGCCGCTGTCCCTTTTCTTAAGCAGCTTGATCTCACCACTTCAGTCTGTAATGACATCCGACAGGTAACTGTGGAGTAGCCTGGCTGGGTCACCAGCTGCTGGGGAGGAAGGGCCACTCCTTCCCCTGAGTGGTTGCCAGGCCTCAAGGACAAACCAGCACAGGGGCAGTAGAAACTGTAGGGAGGGTGCAGCTGTTTCGTGCCAGTGGTTTCTAGGAATGCTTCTGACCTCCTCTGGTCCTGCATTTCATGGGCGATGGAGCAAGACAGAATCTCAGAGGACAGCTTGGTGACTGCTTGGTTTTGGAACTGCATTGGCTCACTAGTTACAATCCATTGCGTCTGTAAAGGCAAATGTCTTTTTTCTTTCCTATTCACAAGGAATTCCTTTCTCCATGCGGCATTTCTGATTTTGAAGCACTAATCTCATCTAGATCAGAAAGCCTAAATTGTGGATAAAGTGGCAATCCTGAACGTTTTGGGGCTTCAGTCACAAGAGAATATTTCTGTGTGTCTGATACAGATGATTGAGAGAAATGGAAATGTAAACTAGCAGTTGAGAGCAACAATAATAATTTTCTATTAAAATACCATTTATGAAATGCTAGCCACTTCACATATATAACATATTCTTCACAACGGTTCTGAAGTAGATATTATGATTCCAAGACTGAGATTCTGAGCTATTAAGTGAAGTTGCTTAAAATCACATAGCTGTTAAGTGGCCGGTTCTGTGGTCCCTGTTCTTTCCCCTCACTGTGTCAGCCATTACTTTGTGACCCCATCCCCGTGTGGGCATCTATTACTGAACATTTCCTAGGTCTCCCTTCCAGCCATTGAATAGAAGTTGGTGAATTTGGGCTTAAATTGAACCTTGTATTTTACTTTCACTGTTTTAATCTTATAGTTAAATTTAATTAACTGTTGACTAGTTTCCATGCTACCCAATCTCTATTATAATACTTCTTAGGTAATATTTTGGTATAGACACATAGATTTTGGAATTAATGCATTGTGGAAGATTTTTTTAAGTTATCTTTTTATAATTTTTTATTTTTTATTTTATTATTTTAATTCAAGTGACTTTAGCTATAATTTGCACATCAAAAGCACAGGTAAAACAGCCTGTTATAGTGGAAAGAGCATAGCTCTAATTATCCAGCCCTGGTTTCAGTTCTGGTTCTGTCACCTACAAGCTGTGTGACCTTCACAAGTTACTTCACCTCTCTAAGCCTTAATTTACCCACTTGCAATGTGAAGATAATTTCTACCTTAAAATTTGTTATGGAAATTAGAGATAATATTTCTAAAGTACTTGGCATAAAGCTTTCAATGTAGCGGGTATTAAATAAATATCTGTTGAATATTAGACAAAGAGCTCATAGTATAATAGTTGTCATTGTCATTATTGCAGTTGTCCCCTGTGCCTTTCATTTCAGGAAGGCAATACAACTTATTTTTCTAGAGACCAACCTATTTTGCAATTATCCAAGAATGGTGGGGCAGGGAGACTTCCTGAAATGTCACTTGGGGGTCCAGGTTTAAACTTAGGCCATAGCTAAGCTGACCTTCTCTGCATGTGACCTTTCCTGGCCTTTGCACAATCCCATCTTTAATTGACCAGCACCAGGCTCTTTCCATTTCTGCTTGCTATTGTCCTCTGAGTCTTTGGTAGCACAGAGGAGGTATCATCAGTTCAACTTGTCATTTAACTCAGGGACACACGCTTGTTACATACATGGCAATGGCTCCTTGAAAGTTCTTTGAACTGGTCAAGTTTTCAACTCCTTCTGGAGCTGGAGATTGCACTAGAAGTCCGGGAGGCTTTTTGTGAGCATGCATAGTGGAGAGCAATTCTCCGCTGTTAACCACGTAGGTTGGTCTCGGTGCAGCTCTCCTTCAGCTAGAGCTGTCTTTAACATCACTTGGGCCTTTGGGGCAGATTTTGCCCACAGCTTATAGATGGATATACTCTCAGATGCTGAAATGAAATGGCAGATTTGGTTGGTAAAGACCATTGTTGAGTGAACCTAGTGATATCCGGTCTCTTGAGTCAACTTGCCTCATTGAACAATAAATGATGAAGCCTGCAGCTTTCTTGCATTCAGAAACCTGCAAACAGTGTATGGAAATTTAGCCTTTAACCTCTTTGAGCTTTTCATTTATATCTCCCAAAGTAGTTCAGCTCTCATAGAAAAGAACTCCATCTACCAAACTGATGATTTAATGCATCTGGCTTTAATCCAGCATTATCCAAAGAAAATATTCCATGGATATTTCCAGTGAGTGAAACTGTTTCCTCATCTGAGTAAAGAATTTTCTTCAGATTGTTTACCTGATTGCTGAATAATGTGCTTATTGCAAATTTTTGCAAAATTAAGTAGTTCTTGCTTTTCTTTTCCAGCATTCTTATTTTACTGTGCCTGACACCAGAGAACTTCCCAGCATACCTGAGAATGTGAGTACTTGGGGAAAAAAAAAATTTAAATTTTTATTCTCTTTTTTTTATTAACTGATTTTTAAAAGAAAATAAAAGGATATAGTTTCCCATTATAAAATAATGCATTATAAAAGCAAAAACAAGTAGAGGATATTTGAAAAGTACCAAAAGTATAAAGATAAGGAGGGATCATTATTCATATTTCTCAAAAGCAATTGCCTATTGACATGTTGATGTCTCGTTCTAGTTTTAGAATGTATTTTAGAACATATTTAAAATCACCTATTACACAGCATTTTTCCATTTCATTCATAAGAATAATTTTTGTTAGCTGCATAATATTCCATTTGCTATGTTACTTTGCTATTTCCTCACTGTTGTTCATTTAGGTGGTTTTTAGTTTTTGCTGTTGTAAGTAAAATGTTTTCATATAAAGATTTCTTTATTAGGGTAGATTTACTCAAGTAGACGTATATGCCTACTATATTTCTATATTCACTTTTAGGAGAGTAAAATAAAGTATTTGTGGGTGTATGGATTAGGACTCCCACCCCTACTTCTTAAAAACTTAAAAGCAGTGAACTTGAGTCTGAAGGAGCAGAGGTTAATGTTTACACTCTGACGAGCTGGATGACATATCAACCCTAGCCTAAGACACATTTTCAAAATGTTTCACTCGGGTTATAAATAGTGCTATATAGAATTTAATACAAAATCACCACCACTTAGGCACTTGATTATTTTTTAAAATTGTGGCAAAATATGCATAACATAAAACTTATCATTTTAATCATCCTTAAGTGTACATTTCATTGGTGTAAATACATTCACATTGTTGTGCAACCATTACCAATATCCATCTCCTGCACCTTTTCATTTTTCCCAGACTAAACTCTGTACCCATTAAACAATCCATTAACAACTCTCCACTCCCCACCTTTTCCCCAGCCCCTGCCAAATACTATTCTTTCTGTCTCTATGAATTTGACTACTCTAGACACCTTATCTAAGTAGAATCATACAATATTTGTCCTTTTGTGTCTGGCTTAGTTTACTTAGCATAATGCCTTTGTGGCTAGTCTATATTGCAGCATGTGTCAGAATTTTCTTCTTTTATAAGGCTATAATATTCTATTGTATGTATATAACATACTGCATTTTGCTTACTCATCAGTGGACACTTAGGTTGTTTCTACCTTCTAGCTGTTGTGAATAATGCTACTATGAACATTGGTATACAAACATCTGTTTAAGTCCCTGCTTTCAGTTCTTTGGGGTATATACTTTATTACTTTCTTAAAATGCTGGAATAAGTATTTGTGGGTGTATAGATTCACAGAAAGACATTCTTTTAGATGTTGTCTGTAGAGCAGACAAATTATAAATGTCAAGTAATCAAGTTTAATTAATGAAGTTTTGTTATTGTAGGTAATGGATCAGAAGCCTGGCTTCTTGGGTTTCTTGGGGTGGGAGGTTCTTAAATATTAATATCAGAATCTCTCTTTTTTTTTTTTGGAGTAGTCAGTTTTCTTTTGCTGGAAATGTACATTCAATTACCAATGTTCTGGAAGCTGAGTGGGGGAGGTGGGTCATGCTATATCAACATTTAGCATGAATAATTTTATTTACCCCCTTCCACTTTTTATTTAATGCTTTATACCCTATACCCTGTTTTCAGCTATACCTGATGTCCCCCAAGCCTTTTTGGTTTAGTTCCTACAGAAAGCACATGTTTATTCTTCCAGAGGGGTGCTGGAAGGCCAGTTGACTAGCTGAGTGAACTGGGAAAGGAGAGTATTGGGGGCCAAATAATTTTTAATTTTATTGGCACCCTTCCCCTAGCCTTCACAGGTCTGGTGCCTCGATTCCTGAACCTTTTTGGAATTCCATGTTGTGAGTTGGCCTTGATGCTTGCTGTGTGTTCTCTGGCCCCAGCCTTAGTTTTCAGCCTTTTCTGGGCCACCAAGTCAGTCTCTTAGTTTTTCAACCGCAGTTGGCACTCTTGACATCTTACGCCAATTATTATTTTTTATTGATTCTCAGAGAGAGAGAGAGAAACATCAATGTGAGAGTGAAACTTGGATCGGCTGCCTCCTGCACGCCCCTCTACCAGGAAATGAGCCCACAACACGAGCATGCGCCCTGACAAGGAATTGAACCGGCAACCCCTGGGTGCATGGGATGATGCCCAACCAACTGAGCCACACCAGCCAGGGTGGGCCAAATAATTTTTTGTTGTGTGGGACTGTCCTTGTACATTGTGGGATGTTTTGCAGCATTTCTGGGCTCTATAAACTCTATGATGAGAGCACACCCCCTAGCTGTGACAATCAAAATGTCTCCAGATATTGCCAAATGTCCCCTTGTGGCAAATGACACAAGTTGAGAACCATTTCTTTAACAATATCTGCTTTCTGGCTTCCAAAAATTTAACATTTTTCTTTCATTACTGTTTTTCCAATTTTGGGGAGTACATGTCATTTAAAATTATTTTACATGTGGGGGACCCATGGTATCAGGAGAGAGAAAAGACGAGTATCTACCATATTTTACTGAAAATCCCTACAGTTTTTAACTATGCTTCCCCTACTAATAGACATTTAGATTGTTTCAAATGTTTTGTTATAAATAATAGAGTAACAAGTATTGCGTAGGTTAGGTTTTTCTTTTTAATTTTTCATTTTTTAAGGACAGAGAAAATTTAAGATACCTGAAAAATCTGATAACTTATTGATTTCCAAAACCACAATTACTAAGATTAGAAATAGTTTAGAGAAAAAAAATCTGTATTTTTATAGCCCCACCTTCAGTTCCTATGTGTACTGTATGCCGCCTTCTTTGCACCCACCATTTTTTAAAATGTGCATTCTCTTTGCTGGTTTTGCCACTGATGAACAAATTCTCTGTGTATGACCCATTGTCCACTAAATCCTTCTTTGCAAACTGATAACAGGCTAGCCTTGTTTGTTACTAAGCAGGAATAATAAAACAATCTGCCAGACTTCTAACATACATGGTCCTATTTAAATTCTTCCAGCTTCTCTGTGAGAGGTAGACGTGAGCCCCATTGTACATATAGGGACCCAGTGCTCACAGACCTGAGGCTACTGGATCAAGATCTGCTCAACAAAGCATTTTGTTTCCATTATACCCACCTACCCACCCACCTGGCCTTCCTACAACTGACTTTTGATATTCATGAGGAAAAAGGAAAATGAATGATTTTTGATAGCTCAGATATGAAATGAAACAGGCAAGCTTTTTCTCTAAGGAGAATTTGAACTTTTATAGGACCAATTTGTGTGATTTTTGACATAGAGTCACTATTGAGCTCTAGCCGTGTTGAAATTTGCATTTTAATCTCTTGGTGATTTTTCAAGGATTAATTTAAAATGACTAAATTGCTGCACTGCAAATTGAAACAAGCAATAACTGTGGGGATATTAATATAATATAGTGTGCTGTAGTGGAAAGAACATGAGTTTTGGAGACAGCCAGACACTGGGCTCCACCACTCTGGGACCTTGAGCTACTTACTTCTATTCTCTGAGCCTCGGTGTTCTTATCTAATAAAGAAAAATGGGAGGAACAATTAAAGTATTAAATGTAAAGTTCCAATTTCACTGCCTGGTGCAGCAGAGGTGCTGCTTTGAGGGTTCTTTTCTTTCCCTTCTTTCCTCGGCTTTCCTGGGATTCTTGAGGTCTGAGTTGTGGCTGAGGGCTAGGGAGCGTCACTTACTTCTTATAGCTTGTGTTTTCTAGGTTTTTGCTGACACTCTTGGTTGTGAAGACCAGTGCTTTTCCTTTCATGGGGTGTACATTTGACCACACAAGTCTCTTAGCAGGCACCGTTGACACCAGCATTTGTGAAGCTGGGAAATGGTGTAGGGAATGGAGTCCAGGAGGTGTCTGTAAACATTTATTGAGTATCTCTGCTAAGGGACATAATGAACTTTAGCAACTAAGCAAAGAAAATGGTAAAAGGACTTTGGGATATGGAACATGATTCTGTCTTCTGAACAGCTTCAGATAAAGGTTCATGTAAGAAAAAGAAAGGAGCTCATCCCCACTGCGGAGCAAATCAGGAACTGTGTGTTATATCATGAAATCTTCACAGCAGTCGTAGGGTGTAGTTGTTACCCCTGAAGAGCTTTCAAGAGGAAATGAAGCCCAGAGAAGTAAGTTGCCGCTAGTCACCCAGCCAGTAAATGCTAAAACCAGGATTCACACTCAGTTCAGTCTGATCCCAGCACTGAGATGCTGCCAGGTCCTGGGCTGCTGGCTCCATAGCTCCCTATGCCCTTCTAAGAAATCACTCATCATAAGTGTAATTAATTATGTGAGTATTTGTGTAATATCCTCTCTCCTTCCTGAGGACAGGGATCAGTATTTTTTCATCACTGCATCTCCATAGTCAGCACTGAACCTAGAACATAGTAGATGCTCCATATATATTGATGGAATAAACGAATGAGCAATGCAGCCACCCTCGGGAGAAGGAAAAAATAATAGCTTCTCTCACTTGGCTTTTGGGCCATTGTGTCTGCAATATATTAATAAAAAGCAAAGGTACACAATTAATTTTTTCCACTTTCAGATGCCTATTGAAGTTAATTCTCATTATTCAATTTCTTTGTAAAAATATTTTCTTCCATTTTACTGAAAAACTATCACGTTGTAATTGCTCATCAGGGTTTTCTCTATCTATCAAGATAACAGATGTAGGAGTGAAATTTATACAGGCAATAATTAAATGAGCATAAATCTTTATAAATTTTAAACAGTTGACCTGCATTAAAAAAAAGTCACAGATCATGAACAGATATGTAGTAATAATTAAATTGTAAACTGGCTGTAGGAGGGATTTTTTTAGCGGCCAGGTTTTGAAGTGTACTTTTGATTAATGGGTAAGCATGTAGACCTTCATTTGGAATATTAAACAAACCTGTCTTAATTATCTGGCCAGTGTCATACCAAGTGGTTAATGATGCGAGGAAAGCATTTAGAACGGACAGTTA